GTTTTATGATGTCTTTTTTTAAATTGGGGATTCCAATGAAGTGGTTTTGAAGTATTTAGTTGAAATCTCTTTAATACCACTTCCCAAGCACCTGACTCTGCCTCTGCTGAGATAATACTTTGAGCTCATCAACCAAGAATGCAATGGGGAAAAAAAATACCCATTGCTAACCCAAGTTTTAGTGTAGCTTATAAAATTACGTGGAAGAAATAATCAGAGAGGCATGAGAACAAGTAGTAGGGTGTTTCAAAAGGCAAAAGGAAAGAGAATGAAAAGAATTCAGTTCAAACGCGAGATCAACGTTGGAGCAGTTTCAGGACACTGGTGACGTCGGGCTATAGCACGTTGCTACCTTGGGAAAGGCAGAAAGAGTATGTCTTTGTGGCCCTTATATAGGAGCTGCTTATTTAGTTTTCCCAAGACAGGATTTTTCATTAGCTCTCTATGATTATTCTCTTTTTTGTTTTTCCTCAATTTACAGAGGGATCTAGATGACCTACTAGTCTAACCCCTCAGGCATTTTCCTAGGATTGGCTTTCAGCTGCTTCTAAATGATGTGACTGCCAGGAAAGTACTACTGCATCACCTCGGGCCTTTCTAGACGCTTTTCTAGGAAGAGATGATGCACCAATTGTTTCCTAACCCAAATGCTATAAATGCACAAGACTGTAGAATACTGGACTGGTTGGCCAGGTGCGGTGGCTCACGCCTGTAATCCCAGCACTTTGGAGGCTGAGGTGGGCGGATCACGAGGTCAGGAGTTTGAGACCAGCCTGGCCAAGATGGTGAAACCCTGTCTCTACTAAAAATATAAAAAATTAGCCAGGTGTGGTGGCGGGTGCCTGTAATGCCAGCTACTCGGGAGGCTGAGGCAGGAGAATTGCTTGAACCCGGGAAGTGAAGGTTGCAGTGAGCCAAGATTGCACCATTGCACTCCAGCCCAGGCGACAATACGAGACTCCATCTCAAAAAAAAAAAAAAAAAAAAAACTCTACCAAAAAAAAAAAAAAAAAAAAAAAAATACTGGACTGGTTTAATTATTCTTCAAGGTAAATGGTAAGTCAAAGAAGAATGAACGTATTTGAGGAACAGATGTCCAAAGCAGGATTCGTGTCCTCTAATGTAAGGCTAAGAATAAAACAGAAAATTTTTATTATTGTGTGGGTTCTCTATTTAATGAAAAAAACACATTATAAATCATTAAAAATAATCTTAGAAAATTAAGAAAGAAAAATCAAAATGAAATCCTAGAGAGTGACTTTTTCAAATAATTCTGACAGATCCACTGCGGCATCCACCAGCCTTCAAAGTCTGCTTTATTATCTTCTCACAATCCTTTCAAACTCTAGATACTACAAAACAAAGTAATCCAAATTGTGCTATGTGCTTTACAAATAATTGTAAACGGCTCATGCCTGTAATCCCAGCACTTTGGGAGGCCGAGGCGGGTGGATCACAAGGTCAGGAGATCGACACCATCCTGGCTAACACGGTGAAACCCCATCTGTATCAAAAATACAAAAAAATTAGCCAGGCGAGGTGGCAGGCGCCTATAGTCCCAGCTACTCGCGAGGCTGAGGCAGGAGAATGGCATGAACCTAGGAGGCGGAGCTTGCAGTGAGCCGAGATCACGCCACTGCACTCCAGCCTGGGTGACAGAGCGAGACTCCATCTCAAAAAAATAAAAAATAAAATAAAATAAAATTGTAAATAATTAAAAATAATTGTAAAATAAAGGAATATGTTAATCTATAATACTAATATTCGGCTAAATTTTTGGTGACTCTGCTATTTTCAAGGATATAGAAAGGCTTCATTAATCATAACTGAAATCAGGACATAGTCAAAGAATCAAACAAGCAGCTTCAGCTTGGCTTCAATAACAAAACATTTAGAAACGTCTACAACTACCAACTACTCCAGTGAGATCTTTTCAAAGCAGGAAACTGGGATACAGTATCTTGTGTACTGCATATTAGCTTTAGAAATAGCCCTCAAAGATAGGTGCATATTGGTTCAGTTTTGTTTAAAAGAACATTTTTGCACATTATAATCTGTAAAATGTGTCATATTTATGGAGAAATCTTAGGTGTATGTACATAATTGCAATTCCTTTATAAACTTGCATCTGAAATCAGTGAGAAGTTTGCTAAGACAAGGATAGTACAGAATCACTGTGATAATCTAACTAGAGTTTCAAGGTAAAGAAGCAATAGATTTTAAATTTTGTATTTTTCCAGCACTAGCTTTATAGCTAGCACCAATCATACCTCTCATAGAAGAAACTAAGCTGCAAACCTATAGCAGTTAAAAATTAAGTTATTCTACCATTTGATACAGCCATCCCACTACTGGGTATACACCACCCCAAAATTAAATCATTATATAAAAAGATACCTGTAGTCATATGTTTATCACAGCACTATTCACTATAGCAAAGTTATGGAACCAATGTAAGTGTCCATCAACTGATGACTAAATGAAAAAAATGTGGTCATATATATAATGGAATACTACCCAGCCATAAAAAAATGAAATAATGTCTTCTATAGCAACATGGATGGAACTAGAGGTCATTATTTTAAGCCAAAAAAAAAAAAAAATTCAGAAGTAAGAAGTCAAATACTACATGTTCTCAATGATAAGTGGAGCTAAATATGTGTGCAAGTGGACATAGAGTGTGGAATAACAGTCACTGGAGACTTGGAAGGGTGGGAGAGTGGGAGGGGGTTGGCATGAGAAATTACTTAATGGGTACAATGTACACTATTCAGGTGATGGTTAGATTAAAAGCTCAGACTTCACTACTACACAGTATATCCATGTAGCAAAACTGCACTTGTACCTTTTAAATTTATACAAATAAAAAAAATAGGTTCTCATTTATCTTGGAAGAGTGAATTATTTATCTTGGAAGAGTGAATTATTTCCAAAAGTTTTAAACGGATCCAAACCTCTACTTAACTGTCATTTTGCAGTCTCATTAGAAAATACGTGAAGGTGAGGACTCAGGTTTTACCATGAAATCCTTTGCAGCTCCTTAAACTGGGTTATAATGTGTGACTACATTTCAGTTAATTAGATGTTGAGCTAAATGCTAAAAATGTTTGAAGAGATTAGGTAGATGACTTCGACACATTCCAGTACACAAGCTCACCTGCACTGCACTGTGTACACTGCACTGTGTACTGCAACTCTAAAAGTTTAAGGTACTAAAAAATGACAGGGTGATGAACTTCAGCATAGAAAAACAATGCAATACTACACTTAGGCCAGCAGATGTCTCTCTACAACCCATAGCACCAACCGAGAGATAACCAGGTCTCTAACAGCACAGAAGGACTGATCTTATTCAAAATGGTAAACAAAAGGATTCTTAGGTTTTGATCAGGCGAAGAATGTTCAAGTTCAGACAGAAAGTTGAGGGAACAGTAGGTGAGAAAATAGAAACAGAAGCTTATTACAAAAGGAAGGACAGAGCTTGGCACATAAAGAATAAAGTTAAAGCAGGTTCGAGGCATTTTCAGGGGTAAAAAAAAAAAAAAGCTGGACAAGTTAGAGAAGAATATCGGGAGAAAAGCAAGAAACCATGCATCCCTACCATAGTGCGGAAATACTGCAAGTTTGTCAAAGGACAACCGACTAGCAGGTTAAGAAATCCACTTTGCTGATTATGATGAACATTTAAAAGAGAGAAAAAGGAAAAAGAAAAGTGATAGAATATAAAAAATTCTATCCCAGCTTGCACATAGTAAAGGTCTTACTTCAGGAAACCACATACCCACATGTACAAATATGTGTGCTGGGCCCTAAGGTAACAGGTATTCCCTCCTGGGGGTTCAATTAAAAAGGTCTGAAAGCCATGGAGATGTTCAGTGCACCCCCAGTGCCCCACCTCTCCCTCATGCTAATAATGCCAGTTGCAAGACCTCCAGAACAGAAACATAACTGTCAAAGGTAATATCCCAAAATCCCCAAAGGGAGACATGGTAAAACATACATCATATTTAAAATTAATTATGTAAATTATGAAGCAGAAGTCAGGGCTGAGGAAGATGCAACATGAATGCCATGAGAGAAAAATCTAACTACCAGATGCGACTCTCAGCCCCATCTGTGGCATCTTTTCCCACCCTGAATAAAGGTATGACACCCTGGATAAAGGGGCTGAAGGGGAGCTGGCAGGAGAGACAGCAAGGCTGGGGACGAGGCAGATGGCAGGACCTACAGCATCTATCTGGACAGGAACTGGTGAAGATCCAGAAAGATGGGAGTGGAGTGAGCAGAAAGATAATCCATTGAACGTCAAATCCCATCACCAAGTAGAGGACTGGACACGTAATATGCCCCTTATTAACGTTTGCTGAAGGTGTCAGTAGGTCTCAGCAATGCCAACAGTTTGATTACAATTACAGGAAGTTAGTGCCTAAGCAGGCATGATAGTTTGGAGCTTCTTATTCCAAGGATATCACCTGCCATCATCAGAAAATGGGAGTGCTGCTGCTTTTAACTCCATCCTCACCATCTTTAGTAACTGTCAGCCATTTCAGTAGCCACCTGGAAGCTACGCTATGCTCCCCGGGAACTACGTCTTCAAGAATTTTAAAGAAGTTTGTTCGGTTTCAAACTGGAAACCAATTTGACACTTGGAAGGTCAAAGACAAAAATGAATGGGTGCTCAAGGACACAGGGTGCTCAAAGATGAAGACGTTTCAAAGAGGTTGGTTTTAAGGTACGTTTCTCAGAGCCACGACAACAGGCTTTACAGAGGCCATGTCAGAACTTACCAATGATGTTCACACTTGCTTTAGGAGGAGAGTTTGCTTTTGTTGGGTATTTTTGGTTTGTATAACTGGTTTATTTGGGGCTTAGGTACATTTAAAAGAACTTAGTAACAGCAAACACCTATGTACTGTTTACTATGTGCCATGTACTATTCTAGGCATTTCCAAATATTAACTTATTTAATAAATGTATATACAACTACTCATCTCAGTTACCTGTTCAGTGGTTTATTCTGTTTCACTAAAAGTATCACTGCTTCTTCCATTTTCCTCCTGCAAAATAGGAGGAAAATGTCGTTAGAGAATAGGTACAAATGCACACAAAATGTTTTACATTATTATTTGCTATTTTCCAGACTCAGAGTGCCAAAAAGGCTTCATTGAACTTTAGCCAATTATTTCAGCTGCCTAATTTTACTGAGTTCCTAAATAGAATCTTAAGAAAACATAATTACTACATACACAGATAATAAGAGATTTGAAAAACAACTTGTGGCTTCAAAAGAAATCAAGGTGACACAATAAAAAGATGCACAGGGAAACAACTTAGAATAAGACGCTCCTGGACTCTGAATCCTTCTACATTTGATGCGCCTTTTCAAACCACAGTCCTTCAAGTTCTTTTTCAGGTGGTCACTACGTTTCCTCACTACGTGAAATAATTGCTGTTCTAAAGATAGAAACAATTGGTGGATTTGGTTTTAAAGATTTACTTAAAATTTTAAAAAAATAATGGAAAGCATTTATCAAAAAAAGAGGTTATTCCCCAGAAAAGGTAATTGTTCATAATCTCTGGCAGGTGACATTTACCTTTGGGAACTCATGAGTGTCTAGGTTCTGTCCCTCAAATCTCTGGCTCCAAACGTCTCTCTCTCTAAGGTACCAGAGATGATCACATTGATCAATACCGATTTATGCTAACAAAGCTCTTAAGAGACTGATAAAGCCCAAATGGTGAAGTATTCACTTATAATGAAAAATGCAATTGCCAGATATCCTGGACACTTGCTCCATCCAGTTTGGAAGCCAGTAAATCCTAGGCATAGGCACCTCACAGGCAGGCAAAGATTAGGGCAAATTAACGGCAGATTGCTCAGTGAGCATATCGGAGCTGTCACCACCTAGATGCCAATGGCCTCCAAAACAATCTCTAGCCAAGCATTATCCTACCTTCTCCACCACCACCATCCTAGTCCAGGCTGCCATTGTTCTTTGTCCTGGACAAACACAAAACACTTCTTGCTGTTTTCCCAGCTTCCACACTTCCTCCCTTCCAATTCATTATGCACGTGTCCAGAGTAAACCCTTTGTTTGTTCTGGAGACAGGGTCTCACTGTCAGTCAGGCTGCAGTACAGTACTACAATCATAGCTCACTGTAGCCTCAAACTCGAGGGCTCAAGCGATCCTCCCACCTCAGCCTCCCAAGTTGCTGAGATAAGGTACAAGTGTGTACTACGATGCCCACTCATTTTTTATTTTTTGTAGGTCTTGCTATGTCGCCCAGGCTAGCCTGGAACTCACGGCCTCAAGTGATCCTCCTGCCTCAGCTTCCCGAGATGCTGGGCTATAGGTATGAGCCACCACGCCTGGCACAAAAAAAACCTTTTAAAATAGAAAACAGATCGTGGCTGAGCCCTGCCTAAACCCCCACTTTAGTGCTCTGCATTGGTCTATGATAAACATAGGGGATGACTCTTGGCCCTGCTGCGGCCCTGCCCGCTCCATGCACCACTCTCCCTTGTCATCCTCTCACTTCAGCCACGCTGGTCTCCTTTCACTCCTATGAATAAACGAGATCCCTCAACACCTCAGAGATTTTGCACACCTTATTTTCTCTCCTTGAAAATTAATGCACACATTCTGCCCTCCCTCCCCTGACATACATGCCTACCCAGGAACCTGTGCGTTCTCACTCCAGTTACATGATCCCACGACTAGGACAAATTCCCCTATGCTAAGCTCCCAGGACACCTTGACCTTCTCCACCAGAGCACTTGAACAGTTTGCAACTACACGTAACTACGCATTACGCATTTATTTAATTTAGATCCCTCTCTCTCACTAGACTATAAAAAGCTCCATGAGGGTGGACACTGAGCTCATTTTATTAGTATGTTCCCTGGCAGTGACTACTCAACAGATATGTTCTTGAATGAATGGTGGCTTCGGGCTTTCAGAATCTATTGCCAAATTGATTCCAAAAACAGGGACACGGGGCTCTGCTGAAGGGGCTCCATCCCCCACATTGTGCGCCCCCACCACTGGGTCACCAGTAATTAGATGGGCATTGTCTACATTCACTTCTGTAAATTTTTGTGTCCTACACTTCCATGGCCAAAATAAATCTTCAGATCTTAAAAAAGAAATAGCACAAAGTTCAAGACACATTTGGGTAGCAACCCAGCAGAGAGGACTCACAGCAGTGGGTTACTAAGAAACACTATAAACAAAAAGGAAAACAAATTTCAGCCAAAGGAAGTCCTTGGTGAAACAACCCTGGCGAGTGGATACACATACACACACAGACCAAAGCAGTGGCTCTCAGAGGAGGGTGCGTGAGATCCTGGGTTTGCTGCGGGATGCCACCACAACCAGGGGGCAACAGCAAGGCAATGTGAGATCCTAGGAGGAGGCCCCACTCCCTGCCCCTCCCATCGCCAGGGCCTGCCCCGCATGCTTGGCACACAGGAGACCCATCGTGCACTGAGTGTGGTGCTCTCCCATTTGCCTAACAAACCAACAATTAATGGGCATTTCCTAACTCACTGCATAGAGTGTTTTAAGTGGCTCACAGTTGTGGTTAATTTTTATACGATGTTCTAACATTTCAATCTTCTTATGTGATAGAACAAAACCGGTGGGAAGAAACCTCATAATACATTTGGCTCTAAATTCATATCTAGTTATGGGGTTAAAGAGGGTCAATTTCATTCATCCTTTCAAAATAGTGTGCACTGCAAATAGTGTGCACCTCATTCCAGGTGGTGTGGATAGGCACTGAACAAAACAAAAGGCCTCTTCAAGGAGTTAACATTCTGGAAGGAGACTGACAATAAATACTAAAGTAAAAGATAAAACCCATCAGATGACAATACGTGGTATGAAGAAAAGCAAAGCAAGAGAGGGTGACAGAGACTGTGTGTGTGTTAGGGGTAGGGGGTGGGAGTCAACATTTAAATAGGGTGTTCAAGGAAAGTCTCCCTGAGAAACTGCCGTATGAGCAAAGATCTGAAGACTGTGGAGAAGAGACCCATGCAGACATCTTGGGAAGGGCAGTTCCAGACAGAGGAACCAGCAAGTGCAAAGGGCCTGAGGCTGAAGCACGGCCTGTCTTGGGGCATATGAGGGAACAGTAATAGGAGGTGAGATCATAGATGTGAGCAAGGGGTTTCATAGTCCAGCACTAAAGACTGTTGGCTTTGATTCTGAGAGCCACGGAATTCAACTGAGGTGATGCATGCAGCACCCTGCCCCATGGAATGCTGGAGAGGGGCAGCGACATGATCTGGCTGTGTTGAGAATAAACTGAAAAGAAGGCAAGGAGGCAGCTAGGCCAGTGACTAGGCTACTGGGACAATGCAGCTAGGAGAGGACAAGGGCTTGGACTAGGTGCACCAGCACAGGTGCTGAAACAGAGTTGTTGGGGTCTTCGCAGAGCTTGAAGCAAAGGCCCTGGAGCTAACTCTCACTTCCCTAAGGGCTGATCTTAGCGATCTTAATGCTCTTCTCACTAACCATGCTTTTTGTTTTAATTAGTACTTTTAGAAAAGAAAATTTAGTGGGTTTTAATCTGCTACAGAAGTAATAGATGATCAGGCTGGGCAGGTTGACTCATGCCTGTAATCCCAGGACTTTGGGAGGCTGAGGCAGGTGGATCACCTGAGGTCAGGAACTCAAGACCAGCCTGGCCAACATGCTGAAACTCTGTTTCTACTAAAAATGCAAAAATTAGCCAGATGTGGTGGTGTACCCTTGTAATCCCAGCTGCTCAGGAGGCTGAGGTGGGAGAATTGCTTGAACCCAGGAGGCAGAGGCTGCAACAAGCTGAGATTGCGCCACTGCACTCCAGCATGGGCAACAGAGCGAGACCCTGTCTCAAAAAAAAAAAAAAAAAAAAAAAAGTAATAGATGATCTTTATAGAGAGTGCAAAAGATCAAGCAAATCAAACTTTTGCATCACATTATAAAAGAACTTAACATACAAGTGCTTCTTATACTCTGGTCACCACCATATATTAGCATTTTAAATCTACTGTGAAAAGAAGAGACTTCTCCCCTAGGTGAGGAGAAAGATCATTCCATACACATGACCATGGTAGTTAACGACTCTATGTAACAAAAGGTTTTCCACTTGAAGATCTATTGATATACAGCAGGACAAACACCAAAGAGAAGTACTGTATTCTTAAAACCAAGCTTAGGTCAGTATGGGCTAACCCTGAAATCTTTCAGCTGCGCCAGTTTGAGATCAATGAAGAAATGTTTGGCCCATCACTCACAAAACCACACTTTGCTGCACAAAGACTTTCTCTCAGAGACACATATGATGATAATATAATGTAAAGTAAAATTTAGATATGGTGAAATTCTTTAAAAATGAAATAAAGTACCCTTTTTAGTCTCTGCATTGTTGATTAACACGGGACTTAAAAAAAGAGGGGGGGAAGCTCAGTGTGCAGAACTGTCGTCATGGAAACCATCCTACTCCAGGGCAGGGGAGCAGCTCTTCATGCTGTCATCAAGCCACCAAGACTCTCATCTGTTTGGGAGACAAAGCCACGTCCTCCCCTAATCAGAACATTGCTGTTTAGTCAAACATGATGACTTGGCCTGGTGTGTAGCTGCAAACAAAATTAAACTGTGATTCTCAACATTTGACTCTTATGGCTGATATGCCATATTTGTTTAGCTTCTCTTGAACAGAGCTACCAACAGATCAGTCACTCATGGTGACTCAGGGAATATCAATTGTCCACTAGAGCAGAGCTTTTCAAACTCCCAGGTGCACAGGAGCTGCCTCCAAGCCTGCTAAAAAGCAGATTCTTATATAGGTAACTCTCATGACAATATTGCCTGTGCTATAACATACGTCTCTCAACTCTTCTGAGCTATTTTAGTTCATCCTAATTCATTTTTATTAACATTTTTCAGACACGTATTTCTTTCTTAGTTTGCTTCTGAAGTACAAAAGATAACAGTGGTGAGGTTTAAAAAAAAAATACTGCTTCTCTATGACAAGATACCCAGCAAAGGATCACCTGAGCCTGGGAGATGGAGGCTGCAGTGAGTCCTGATTGTGCCACTGCACTCCAGCCTGGGCAACAGAGTGAGACTCTGTCTCAAAAACAAAACAAAACAAAAGGATCCCCAGCATATTTGTGAGCATGACCTACTTTTTGTTTCTCTGAAATCCTAAGATGACCAAAGGAAGAAGTGTAGTGAAAAAAGGCTGAATGTAAGTCAGTAAGCAAAGGACAGTCTGGTCTAACACCCATGATTGTTCTTATCCCTTGGGAATCCTGTAAAACCACAGAGGGAGGGACCTGGCAGAAAGGAAGCCAACAGACAAGAGGCTACAGTGGCAACAACTGCTTTGGAGATCTATAAGATAAATCAGGGAGATCACAATCAATTGTTTATCGACTCTGAAAGGACCAACAAGAATTACCGTTGAGTTACATAAAGAAAAAAACTACTAGCCAACATCTATTAAGGAGGATAAACAAAGGTATACACAGCTTGGGGCAAGATTTGAAGAAGCACAACCCCACCTACATACAAAGGCACGTGGCAGAGAGCAGGCCGACTCATTCTGTGTGGCTCCTGTGGCTTGAACCCAAAGGTAAAACAGAAAAGGAGAGGCTGGGCACAGTGGCTGACCACCTGTAATTCCAGCACTTTGGGAAGCAGAGGTGGGCGGATGACCTGAGGTCAGGAGTTTGAGACCAGCCTGGCCAACACGGCGAAACCCCGTCTCAATTAAAAATACAAAAATTAGCTGGGCGTGGTGGTACGCACCTGTAGTCCCAGCTACTCAGGAGGCTGAGGCAGGAGAATCACTTGAACTTGGGAGGCAGAGGCTGCAGTGAGCCGAGATCGCGCCACCGCACTCCAGCCTAGTGACAGGGTGAGACTCCATCTCAAGAAGAATAATTATAAAAGGAAATGGAGATGGACTTGGGCACAATATAGGAAAATACCTTCCTTTGTTGTTGTTGTTGTTTTTCTTTTCGAGATGGAGTCTTGTCCTGTCGCCCAGGCTGGAGTGCAGTGTCGAGATCTCAGCTCACTGCAACCTCCACCTCCTGGGTTCAAGTGATTTTTCTGCCTCAGCCTCCCAAGTAGCTGGCATTACAGTGGCATGCCATCAAGTCTGGCTAATTTTTGTATTTTTAGTGGAGATGGGTTTCACCACATTGACCAGGGTGGTTTCGAACTCCTGACCTGAGGTGATCCGCCCGCCTCAGCCTCCCGAAGTGCTGGGATTACAGGCGTGAGCCACTGTGCCCCGCCTCATCTGACAGGTTTTATAGTGGCAGTAAGAAGTGGTCTGTGATACAGACATACTTTCTAACAAAATACACTTCTCGGACACAGAACTTCTCTTTTTGCGAAGTAAGGAGCTCCCATAGTTCCTGAGATAGTCTCCACCTGCCACCCTGTTCCTCTCCAGTACCATACACTGCAAACATGCCAAGCCGGATGCCACTCCCCAGACAGCTTCACGACTGCAAATATCACATGGGCTGTGCCTACAACACTTTTCATTTCTGGGCCATCCCTGCAAACTTGAAAACCCAACCTCCTCTGTGAATCTTGTGCTCTCTCTCCTCCAAGCAGAGTGGCTAGCCTGCTTCTCACCCACTCAGCATACTTCTCCCCTGCACCATCTCCCTCTGCTGTCAATATCTAGACTGTCGGGTCTCTGAGGGCAGGATCACGTGCTATTTCCCTGTGTATCCTCAGTGCTGACCATAGTGACCTGGACACAGCACACACTGGATGATGGGAGGAAGGAAGAAGAGGGGAGGTAGGTAAAGAAAGAGATGACGACGCCTAAATTATCATCTGCTATGCATACGGTAGAAGGAACTCTGATACTGACAGGCATGTTGATTTGAATGAACTTACTCTACACAGAAAGACATGAATTACTGTGGCCTTCATTAAGGTTATTTTATGTATGTTTACAATCCATTTATTGTTATTTAGCTGTTTAGAAATAGTCCCAATATTTTGCTTTTACTCATATATATGTCATAGTTTTTTAGCAGTGTAAATAAAGTCTCAAAAAACCATCTTTCAGAGTTACTGAGATGCCTGCAGAAAATGGGTCCACAGCATTTCACTGCAGTTTGGAATAACTCTGTATCATTAAAACAAGCACAGGGGCCTCTACTGGCAATACTACCTAGCAACACTTTGTAAGCCTTTATGTTAGAACACTGAATACCAGAAAGTGAAGTGAGTCTTCAAACTTTCCCTAATTCAGGCAAGCCTTAGGGAAGATTGATTGATTGATTGATTGATTGATTTTAGACAGAGTTTCGCTCTTGTTGCCCAGACTGGAGTGCAGTGGTGCAATCTTGGCTCACTGCAACCTCCGCCTCCTGGGTTCAAGCGATTCTCCACCATGGCTGGCTAATTTTATGTAGGGACGGGGTTTCTCCATGTTGGTCAGGCTGGTCTCGAACTCCCAACCTCAGGTGATCCACCCACCTTGGGTTCCCAAAGTGCTGGGATTACAGGAGTGAGCCACCGTGCCTGGTTGGGAAGTTTTATTTTACCATTTGTTCATTTTCTTACGCTCTAACACCCAAGGCAACAACCTACTTCAAGACATGACATGTTTGGGCTCTGTGGTCACTTCCATCAAGGGCCATTTGACTGGGGCTTCTCAGGGGCGTGGCATGTAGGTGAATACATCTGAGAACTACAGAGCCATTGCTAACAACGCTCATTACTATTCGAAATGATCGGCATCAGGCACATCGGCACCTTTCCCTCCATCACGAGAACCAACACCCGAGCCACAGAGCTGGGTTCTGCTGCTGCATAGGGCACCGAGTCAGCACCGGCACCTCCCAGCTGTCCTTGCTGTCTCCCCATTCTTCCCCAACGTGGGGCCTATCAGCACACTCCGAAACTCACCTTCCCAGCAGCCTGGTTCCTTTAGTCCCACTTTCTATCCTGGACTACTGCCCTGAGGGACAACAGAATGGTTTCTGGACTCTTTGGACACCAAGGCCAACCTGGGCTGCTGTAGGGACGAGGCCTAAAGAAGGAGGCTGCAGCCTCCACACCCTGGGTGTCAGAGTCATGTGCGTGTGAACTGCCAGCTCCATTTCGTCGTGTTACTACAGAGAGAAACACGGTGGACCTTCTCTATTATGAGAACACCATAGTCTAGGAGGAGTGAATGAAGGTCTTTATTTCATGAGACTTAAAAAAAAAATAGCTTCAAGATGCAGTTTTAGAAACATTAGCAGACATCTTGTGGTCTAACATCAATTCATAAATCAGATCTTAAAACTGATTTTAGCAGATCTTTTCAATAAAATGCTGTATTTATAAAATGGAAAAAAGGCAGGATGGTGCAGCAAATCGGCCAACCGCAGACTGTATCATATTGACTTCATCTGACACTTTTTTTTTTTTTTTGAGATGTAGTCTCACTCCGTCGGCCAGGCTGGAGTGGCAGTGGCGCGATCTCGGCTCACTGTAACCTCTGCCTCCCAGGTTCAAACGATCCTCCTGCCTCAGCCTCCCAAGTAGCTAGGACTACAGGCACACGCCACCATGCTCAGCTAATTTTCTTTTTTTCTTTTGTATTTTTAGCAGAGAAAAGGTTTCACCATGTTGGCCAGGCTGGTCTCAAACTCCTGGGCTCAGGCAATCCTCCTGCCTTGGCCACCCAAAGTGCTGGGATTACAGGCATGAGCCACCATGTGTGGCCCTAGCCCATTTTCTTTTCTTTTCTTTTCTTTTTTCTTGAGGTAGAATCTGGTTCTGTTGCTCAGGCTGGAGTGCCAGGGTGCAATCTCGGCTCACTGCAACCTCTGCCTCCCGGGTTCAAGCAATTCTCCCACCTCCGTCTCCCGAGTAGCTGGGATTACAGGTGTGCGCCACTATGCTCTGCTAATTTTTTGTGTATGTGTATTTTTAGGAGAGGCAGGGTTTCACCATATTGGCCAGGCTGGTCTCGAACTCCTGACCTCAAGTGATCTACCCACTGCAGCCTCCCAAAGTGCTGGGATTACAGGCATGAGCCACCACACCCAGCCTCATCTGACAGGTTTTAAAGTGGCAGTACAAAGTGGTCTGTGTTCCATGTCACAGAATATGAATCTACTTCCAAATGAAAAATATTCATGTATCACCCAACCAGGATGGCTGCAGCAAGAACAAAAGCAAACATGCTGAGAAATAAGATGTCTGGTGGTTACTCTTGATTTGAGGCTGTTTGCACATAGGGTCTAATTTTCAAAACAAAATCTTTGCTTGTTTTGCCAGTTCTTTCTTATATTTGAGCAAATTAGAGGGGAAATAAAATGGCAAAATTCAAACTAAATTCTTGCTGCCTCCAAGATTCCTCAGCCATGAGGGAGAAGGATGCTGTCTCTTAGGAAGATTCATCCAGATTCTGACTATAGGGCAAAGACCGCCAAATCCTAGTTCCTCATTTTGAAGTCTGGTTAACTTATTAGAAAGAATTCACACCTGTAATCCCAGCACTTTGGGAGGCCAAGGCAGGAGGATCATTTGAGCCTAGAAGTTTCAGACCAGCCTACAACATAGCAAGACCCCTGCCTCTACAAAAAATAAAAAATTAGCCAGGTGTGATGACACATGCCTTTAGTCCTAACAACCTGGGAGGGTGAGGAAGGAGGACGGCTTGAGCCCAGGAGGTGAAAGCTGCAGTGAGCCAAGATCGTACCCCTGTACTCCAGCCTGGGCGACAGAGTGAGACCTTGTCTCAAAAAAAGAAAAGGAAAAAAAAAAAAGAGAAAGAAAGATTTATCCAACATCCACTATCCCTACAATAAACCTGGAGTTCACAACCTGGGAAGAAGATAGAGGAAAAAGAGCAACTCTTGAGAGCTCGCTCAGTGCCCGCAGTTTCATGGTCACCTTTAGAGTGGCCTCTGAGGAAACAGTAACTGATGATAATGAGTCAGGGCTCAGAGTGCCTAAGTTAAACTTTCTAAGCTCAGCTCTGCCCAGGGGAGCTTTCCAACCTGCAGAGCCTTCTTGCCACCCTATCCCACATCACCTACCACAGGAGAGGCCCCACACTCACCTGTTCTACAGAGGAAAGAAACGCACATCTGCCCCAAGGAGAGGACTTAACTAGGACAACGGGATTCAGTGTTTACCAGGCTAACAAGAAAAACGCTAAACAAGCCAGGAACCCATAACTAAGTGTCAAACAGACCTGCAAGGCCCAATGTGGCCTGCTTCACAGGAAGAGGAACACAGGCACCTCTCTGAAGCCCTGGGTTGAAACACTCCCACAAATCCCCCCAGGATGCAGACGGAAGATGCCCTGCAGCCACTCCTGGCCTCCAGAACTGGGAGGGGCTCAAGCTCTGGCCCAGTGCGAAGGCAAGAGGCCTCTATTCCTGGCTACAGGAATCAGTAGAAACTCATGGACTTCCAGAGAGTCTTGCCAAAGACCTCGAAACTCAGGAACCATGTAGGGAGCCCTACTGTTCAACACTGTACGTTGTATGTTGCCCTCTGGGCTTGCAGATATTTATGTACGTGCAATACTAAGGGGCAAATAAAGAGCCAAACTGTGGAAAACAAACAGGGGAGCAGTGGCAGTTCTTGGAGTCGGGGAAAAAAGAGAAAACGTGTTTTTTAAAAGGAAAATATTTTTCTAGAATTGAGAATGCAAAGAAATGCCCAGAAAGCACCGGCGAGTTGCAGGAGAAGGGTGACAACACAGTCTGCAGCGAGAACAGAGAGTTCGCATAGCCTGGGCGTGTGCCTGCTTCCATTCCCGCCCACCCACGGTTTCTGGGGCAAACAAATTCTTGGCTGAGCAGGTACGTGTGGGAGGCCTGATTTATTTTCCAACCATTAGAGCTTTGCCCAGAACTACTTAATCAGGATTTTTCAAGGTCGTACATTCAAATATGATGTTATAGCCTTATGAAACAAATAACTCTGGGGTCTATGGGGCAGGCGGGTAGGGAGTGACAAGAAGAGGAAGAAAAAAATTAACCACTCTCATTTGATCTAGCTTCCCAACCATTCTTACCTTGTATCCACTATATAGTCTCAGAAAATTGACACACTGGACAAATGCATAGCTAAAAGAAATAATAGCTAATTATAATGCTTACTTTAAAGCAGGCACCATTCTAAATGCTCTGTTTATATGGACTTATTTGACTCTCGCAACAATCCTTTGAGGCGGATACTAATATTATTGTCCTAATATTATTTTACAGATGCACGAAGAGGTTAAGTGACTCACCCAAGGACCAAGGGCCGGGTGGTGCACCCAGGTAGTTTGTGCATTCCCACTCTGCTATACTCCCTCTCTGTGCTCTGCCGTCCTGTCCCTCAAAAGAGCTTATTTCAGTCATGGTATATCTAATTAATTTTCCCAGTGCGGTACAGTTTTATTTAAGCTACTTTCTTGAAAGGAATACTATCAGAGCCAGTCTCAACCTCAAAGTACAGATGAGACACTACCAACCCTGCTGCTTAAAAAGCCATATAATTTTAGGAGGGCTGGAAAAGTCCCAAGGCTCAAACCACAATTCACTCTCACACAGAGCCTGATTAGAAGCAGTTCTAGGCAAAGCTTTGATCCTGTTAAAATGTACAAGCTTCTGGGAGGCGTTCACTTTATGCTGTTATCGCCTTGTAGGAAAAGTTGCATTGTTATCTTTTTCAGTACAGTTTAATGATAAGAACTTCAGGTGGTTTCCAGGCATCTGATTCACCTGTCCAGTTCTGACTTGTTCCCTGCTGGGTACCTGGAACTCTCCAGGACCTGGCACATAAATAAGTGCTCAATATTGCCAGCGTGGGCGAACGAATGAATCAATGAATGGCTGTCACTCCTGCAGATGCTAGGTTTAGGGTATGATGCATGTAGGTATCAAAGGGGCAGCCAAGTTAGGCAAAATTATCGCATTAAAAGTCTAAATGTGAACAAGTAAATCTCTGCCAGAGAGTAACAACTGAAAGAGACCTCAGGCATGCTTAAGTTGTATATATAATGGTCTTTTTGAAGATTATATTTCAAAATGCATATGCAGTAGAGCTAATATACCTGATGAAGAAGGTAATAAATGGCTTAAGAAGTAAGTGATGTCTATGTAATTTCCCCCTAAAATTATACTCTCCCAATAGGTAACATGCCCTAGGGCATCACCTTTTCTCCCAACAGTCTCCTATCCAAGTCCTCTGCGTACTCAAAGTCCTCCCCAAATGCCTTCTTTTCCAGGAAATATTCCCTGCTTTCTGGCCAGAAGAGGTCACTCCCCAGTTTGTACTCAAAGGTACTTTGTTCTTTCTTCTTGTACACAAATTCATTTTCTGAATTGTAGTTATTTTTCTCATCTGCACTACCAACTTGTCCCTAACTTCTTCCCTGTATTCCACAGGGAACCACACATTCTTCCTAACGTAAACCAAGCATCTAGTAAAAATCAGGCTGTTTTTTAAAGGACTCCTATGGAAGTGCTCCAAGGATACCACAAACATCTGTTTCTGATGTTCAAATACATTTTGGATATTTTTTAAGCTTTAATTTAAGAAAACAACCTGAAATGGTTTATATGCAAACTTTTCACGCACTGCAGATCTCTGCCCATGAATGTAGTGTGTGCCAATAAACCCGGCCAGGCCGGGCAACCTTGCAGCCCTCACAGGAGGCTGCTCTGCCTGCTCTGTGCTCACTCACATGTGAACTTCTCCTAAGTGTGACATTGGTGAGGGAAGCTGTAGGCCCAACTCGGCCCTGTGAGAAGTACCTGCCTGCACAGTCTCCTCTCCTAAAGTTGTTCAAGCAAGCACATGAATACAAAACCACACCCTAGCGTGGGCTTCGATGAAATGCCAGGCAAGGCTCAGGGCCATCTGTACGGCCTTGCTTTCATGGCACCGTAAAGTCCTTTGTGATAATATCCCACTTGAGAGAGAGTAAATATTTATTCTAAGAATTAGATGTTTCCTGTATGACTAGATTTATGATAAGGAATGTGACCAACTGTTTCCTAAGTTCAGTTACAGGGTTTCTTACAGCTTTGAAACAAATACTCCCTATCTTCCATGGGCTGAACTAAAATGTATCCTGGAATCCCAAGGCAAGGTATTTAAACCAAACCAAAAACTCTGTTACGGTTTGCAAACAATTATCTATAAAAACAGACTTTTAAAATATCCTGTATTTAAAGCAAAGCATACAATTTTTTTAAAGACAGAAGATGATGTGACTATAGCTATTAGAAGTTAACAATACCTGACTTAAAAAGTTTTCTATCTTCGTAATAGCCTCATTGTTCTTACTGACACGGCCGTAAATAAACCTCATAAGTGTAAACTTCAAAAATTTATACTTAGTAAGATAGCACTTTATCTGTTTTATATGGTAGAGTTTCATGTAAGATTTCAGTTAATGAAAAGATTCACTGCTTCCCAGAAGTTTGAAAACTTCTCTTAATGTTCCTTAAACATCAGTCTATGGCTGCAAGAGACCTGGAGAAGATGTTTTCATACATGTGTTCCTGGACCATTTTCCTCAGTAATTTCCTTGTACTAGGTACAAAGGTAAGAATCTAAACTTAGGCAAAAAAAAAAAAAAAAAAAAGAAAAGAAAAAAAGAAAAGAAACCACTAATCTAATACCATATTCATAGAATTTATTTAACTCTGTCTTAAAATTTCACGGACAATCAATAGCCAGAGCATCAGTGGGCTTCCAGAATCTTACTTTATTTAAAATTTGGACAAGGACGATTTCTCTTGCATTCGGCCCCTATTCTACATGATTTCTCAAAGTCAACATCAGGGTTTTTCAAGTATTTGCAGGCTCCTTCAGTTTGAGAAATACATATATACATATATATATATACACACACAAACACACACACACATATATACACACACACACACACACACATATATATATATTTATTTATTTATTTTTTTGAGATAGAGTCTCACTCTGTCGCCAGGCAGGGACACAGTGGCGTGATCTCAGCTCACTGCAACCTCCGCCTCCTGGATTCGAGAGATTCTCCTGCCTCAGCCTCCCGAGTAGCTGGGACTACAGGTGCTCACCACCACGCCTGGCTAATTTTTGTATTTTTAGTAGAGACGGGGTTTCACCGTGTTGACCAGGATGGTCTCGATTTCTTGACCTCATGATCTGCCCACCTTGGCCTCCCAAAGTGCTGAGATTACAGGCGTGAGCCACTGCACCTGGCTAAGAACCATTAATATTTTTTAAATTTAATTTGAAGTTCTGGGATACACGTGCAGGGCATGCAGGTTTGTTACACAGGTAAACGTGTGCCATGGTGTTTTGCTACACCTATCAACTCATCACCTAGATATTGAGCCCCACATGCATTAGCTCTTTTTCCTGATGCTCTCCCCCACTCCCAGGGTGTGTTATTCCCCTCCCTGTGTCCTTGTGCTCTCATTGCAGAACCACTAAAATTTTTAACAGTAGTTATTGAATATCTCCTCCCACACTGAGCTATACTTCCCAGGGGCCTGTGCAGTTCTGAACTCTTTACAGTTTAAAAACAGTTTCCTTGCTTAAAAATATGGAAGTAAAACAGCAGTTAAGTAGAACCACGAATTTTTCAGATGGAAAGATACTCTGAAATGCAACTCCTGTGTGTTGATTTTTTCAGGTATGGGAAATATATTTAAGAAACATACACAAGATGAAACAGGTTGTTGGCAAAGTGAGAACTCAGTAGCCAGGTTTCCATGGTTTACTAAAATAAAGGGATCTAAGTTGAAATTCAGATTCTTCCACTCACGAGCTGTAGGCTCCTGATCCAATCCTATGAGCCCCAATTTCCTTATAGGTATAAACAGGAGTAATGTAATATGTGTAGAATATATTATTCCTGTTTATACCTATAAGGATTGTTATGTAAATTGAATTGAAGACACTTAACTGTCTTCTACAATAGTGCCTGACTCCAAGTAATAAGCACACAATAAATGTTGGTTGTAGTTATAAACAGATTTTTCTTGTGGTTTTAGAAAAAGAGAGGAGCATTCCCCAGGTATGAGGTAGACTAACCAGAGACCTTTGTGTTTTGAAGGCAGAGACTGAAGGAATGAGGTGCTGGAGCCCAGAGTTGCGAGTGTGAAGGTTGTGGGCCTGTGGGAACAGAGCTGGAAGTGACTCAGTCCCTGGGGTTAGTTTCCCCAAAACTGGGAGGGGAAAGGATTAGGGTCCCATGAAGAGAAAAGCCCTGACCCACTCACACACGTGCAGGAGGCAGGATTCCAGATCAAAGTGTTGTCAGAGTGGAGACCTCAGTGAACAAGGGGTTGGGGGCACTCTGCAGAAAACCCCTGCAAAGCACTAACAGAGGTTCCCTTCTGAGAGGACGCCAGGGGGCTGGGCCAGGGACATGAACAGAGCAACCACATACGGAGGGGGGTCAGGAGTCCCTCTTCCCCTCTGGCGGAGGGAGGGATCCCAGTAACGAGAGTGGGTTTCCCACACACTCTGAAAAGCGGGAACCCTCATCAGATTTGATTTGATTCAGAAAAATGATTTAAATCAGGTTTAGCCTAAGGTCACACAGCTCTAACAGCAGAGCAAGAATTCAAAGCCAGGTCTGTCTGACTCCAAAGCCCTCACTCCTGTTGCCCAGGTTGCCTCTGTGTGAGCAAACTTGTTCAAGCATGAGTTCCACCAACTATAGATCACCAGCAGTGTCTTCTCAGGTGGAGTTCAGTATGTAGTTTTTCAATTAAAAATATTTTCTAATTAAAAAATTTTTGGTTTTTAGCAGGACTATTTGGATGGGCTCTAGACCAAGGGGTTGTACTTACAATGACTTGCCTCTATTAAAGCTAGGAGAAAAGATTCTATGGTAAAGATTCTGTATTTTAAAAAACGCAGTGGTAAATAAAATTTATAGTAGGCCATTGGTTTGGACTGAGCTCCTGCACTAGGCCCCAGAGACCAAACCAAAATGGAGTCACTCAGGCTGAAGTCCCGAGCCACCAAGTGGAAACTAAGTTGTTCCAAGAAATCAGGAGAGAGAGAGAGAAGAGCCAAATCCCCAAAAAGGCCAGTTTTAGCTGGCATGATAAGGAAGTCCCCTCTGCTTTAACCTTTGTAAGGAAAATAACTCTGAAATGACGAATCACTTTTTGTTCACTGTTTTCTTCAGCCCTTTTCTGCCTATAAAACCAACCTCCTCTGCTCGGCTCATCGCAACGCCCACTGTATTTTATAGAATGAGGTGTTGCTGTACTTTAAAACAGCAAATGAAAGCCAATTCGATCTTTAAGCTAATTTTGTTGAATTTTGTTTTTTGACAGCGGGTCAGTCTTCAGTACCTCCAGAGATATGTTTAAATCAGACACAAGAAACAAATTCCTAAAGAAATGAATCCACTCGAGTAAAAGAAGGATGGTCATGCCTCTAGGTGTCCTGGTTCAGATGAAGTCCTGGCGGTAACTCAGGCAACCAGCCAGTTACGCTGGTGAACAGACCTGAGCCTATTTCCACTAGCTAGCACTCAGCTAATGCTGGCCCCTCCACATACCTTAGTTTTTAGTGGACAATCTGATAGAAACAGAAGTCCTGTTATATCCAGATGGGGGGGTCTTGATAAGGAATCTCTGAGGGACTAATCTATTTGATGTAAGCCAAAGAGCTTTTTCATTTTCAAATCAAGCTATTAACAAATGTCAGATTTATACAAACGAACTTAATGCCACATCCCCCCAGAAACGGTTTTAAATTAAGAAACATTTTCTAGTTGTGAGATGAATGACTTGAGCACATGTGAAAAGATCCTAAAAGGATTTCTACTTGTACTGCTGGAGGTGAATGACAAAAGTGAAAGGCCACTACAGCCCAATGGGTGAGGGGATTAGTGTGGGCTTCTTGCCTAGGACAAAGACTTCAGCAGGGTTACCTATACTACAGACTTGCTGGTAGACCAACAGCATTCCCACTGTGTAGGAGCTTCTCGGAAACGCAGAGCCTCAGGGCTCCATCCCAGAGCCACTAAATCAGAATCTTTTAACAAGATGCCCCAGGGTTCTCCATGCACAGTGAAGTTTGAGAAGCACTGCACTTCAGTACCTTACTTAAGTAAATGCAGATGCACTATGCTTAAGTGTGATCAGTTTTCTGTTCTGTTATTTCGATCATCTATCAGAGCTTTCTCATAAACTAAATGTTTCTTAAATATTTCAAAGGAAGAGACAGGCTATTACTCTCCATGGAAAAATGAGCTGATGTTCACCAATCTGTAAAACACTGACTCCAGATAAGCTGTGTCACAGGCAATGATTTCCTTGATATGTATTAGTACCATCAATGCTTTATTTTTATTTTTTTGTTTCTGATTGTCCCCAAACGACTGAAACTCTTAGAATTTAAAAAAAATCCTAAACCAAAAAAAAAAAAGTTAAAAATTCTATTTCACCTTTTACCACCCTTTCCCCTTCTATATCAAGTAATCAATGGTAGGTTAATGACTTCTTAAATATATTAATAAGGAGTTGTAGATGAATACAATCTGTAAAACAGAAACATACTTTGATAACAAAATCCTATCTTCCACTCAATCACCTCAAGTTTCTTGCAACTTATCTGTATCTAAATCAGATTTCTAAACCAGACCCTCCTTAGAACAAGAGACTAACTTTATTTTCTCTAGTCTCAGGTTCCCAGAGTGGCTGTAAGTAAAGGGGAAGAATACTTAGTGTTTACCACTTACATAAAACTTAAAGATATTTTCAAAAAATAGAATACCTTGTCCAACCACAAAAGTTTAAAAAGTCTCAATTACAGGAAAATTCTGTACTTTCAAATTCCAAACAAATTTTAAGTTATGTTTAGGTGTGTATGAACTGGGACACCAAAAGAGGACAACTGGATTATCTAAACAAATAAATATTACCACAAACAATAAAGGGAACACTTGAGTGCACATTTACTTTAAAAAGTAGCTTTATTGGCTGTGTGCGGTGGCTGACACCAGTAATCCCAGCACTTTGGGAGGCTGTGGTGGGCAGATCACCTGAGGTCAGGAGTTTGAGACCAGCCTGGCCAACATAATGCAACCCCGTCTCTACTAAAAACACAAAAATTAGCCAGGTGTGGTGGCACGCACCTGGCAGTCCCAGCTACTTGGGAGGCTGAGGCAGAAGAATCACTTGAACCCAGGAGGCAGAGGTTGCAGTGAGCCAAGATCATGCCACTGCACTCTAGCCTGGGTGACAGGGTGAGACTCTATCTCAAAAAAAACAAAAAATAAAAAATAAAAGTAACTTTATCAAAGTGAAGACATGAACTCTACTACATTGAAAACTTAAGTCTCCCATTCAATAAAAATATTTAATGAGTCACTTCTATATGGTAGTGTGGCATATTATCTTGGTGGCCCCTAAGGAATCATGCCTACTGGTGATCACGCCCATGCTCATGCCCTCCCACACCAACTCTGGGCTGGAAGAATGGGACATTAGAAAGCATGATGCAAGCACAAGCTTCATGAGTGCTTGCATATTGGGGCGTGCCCAATAAAAGTATCTCTCAGAATATCTAGTGATATTCAGCTGCCATATTAAAAAGACTAAGCAAGCCATGTAGTTAGAAAGGT